TTTTAAAAAATATAGTTTATTCAAGAATATAAACAATGTAATGGATATTTGGTTACTTAATAACAGTCATTTTAAGTATATCATACAAATGAATATGGTCAATATTTAATGTTTTTCAGAGGGGATGATAAAGATCCTGCCTTCATTTTGCCTCAATAGTAAAATTATTGATAAAGTGATTGAAGATAATATTGTTCTACAGTTGTATGCCTTTGGACATATAACTGTAATTATCAGTAATTACAATTACTGATGGTCAGCCAGTAAGTATCAACCTCTTTTATCTTATGTTTCACTAGTAATAGTATCCCAAGTAGTAATTATTACTATATAACAATTATATAGTAATTAAAACCTAATTTTAACAAATAAATGTAAAACCCTACACTTTCAGGAAAGGTCATATTTCATAAATACTCATATTCTGTTATTATGTTTATCATTTACTGTAAGTATTAAGCCTGTGAGACATTGTAGTAGAAATTGCTAAGGTTTTAAAACAAGCCAAAACTATTCTTTTAGTAATTTAATTAAAAATGTCATTATATGGCCAACTATAAATTTTACTACTTTAGTAACAGTATAACATAAAGATGCTCAACAAAAATATGGCCATCACTAGGTTTATGTAAAATTCTATGTCAGATGGACAAAGCAGAAAAAAAGATGTTGGGATCCAGAGGGCAGGTAATATGAAGATGAAGCCTAAATGTAAAAGATAGATCAAGAACATGGTTAGTCAAATGAATGGAGAAGGGACAGAAATCAAATGAATATTCACAGTAAGCAGAGCCATTGGGAACCCAGACAAGAAAAAATCTTGTTGTAAGGCCAGGTGCGGTGCTCAAGCCTCTAATCCCAGCACTTTGGGAGGCCGAGGCAGGAGGATCATGAGGTCAGGAGAATCATGAGGTCAGGAGATCAAGACCATCCTGGCCATGGTGAAAAAAAAAAATTAGCCGGACATCGTGGCTCACACCTGTAGTCCCAGCTACTCAAGATGCTGAGGCAGGGGAATGGCTTGAATCCGGGAGACAGAGGTTGCAGTGAGCCAAGATGGTGCCACTGCACTCCAGCCTGTCAAAAGAGCAAGATTCTGTCTCAAAAAGAAAAAAAGGAAAAGTCTTGTTGTGCCCATGGGAAACAAAGATTAGAATAAATTTTGTCCAAGCCGACAATGAGTAAATCAGAAGGCACAGATTCTCAGAAGCCAGGGCAGGATCAGAAGGACATGCCACAAACCTGATGGCCAGCCAGTTATCAAAGTTGTAATGCTAATTTTATCTCATGTGGGCTCTAGCTAGAGCTAGAGCTAACAGGTTAGAGGACTTCTGGCCCCATCATGGTACTGGGATCCTGTGGCAGCAGGATGCCCTAATGTATGTTGTGGCATACTTAAAAAATTTTTTTGTTAGATATTCACAATGTTTTCTATTATATCTCAGAACTAAAATTTGTTTTACTTTCTAAGATAAAATAATTGAAAAAAATTGTAACGTAAACTAAATAATAAAATAATGTAAAATTAAATAAATGAAATAACACTTTCATGTCATACACTATGAAGTATGAAATACTTGTTAGGATCTATGAGTGGATAGCAAAGAATGCACTTAAAGAAACACTGGCTAGTGTTTCCAGCACAGTTCTGGGGACTAGACTAGTGTTTCCAAGTCCAGCTTGATGGCAGCAGCTGTTAAGATCACCCAACTTGATCTCCTGGTTTGACTTTCATCTTGTCAAACCTTTTTCTGCTAATAATTTGGCTTTCCTTGTAGAGTTGTCTACAGGGTAGCAAATGAACAAACAAGAGGATTCAGTCTGCTGTATTCTGCATCTTTCATTGTAAACAAATACATTGCCATCCTGGTTATTATACATCAGTAACTGCAGGTCCAATTAATATGAATCCCCCCAGGAGGGAAGTATCTGCTCCTCACATTCTGATTGTCTGGGTTGCAGGGCTCAGGACTACACCTCGAACAGTGATGAGTTCACAGGGGACCTCACTTGGTAGTCTTTGCTATGTTTGCTTTTTCACTCAGAGTGTAACAGGAAGTCTGATAAGACTAACTTTTACATACCCTGTAATAATCTTTTGGGTACATTATTGGTATACTTGGTACAATTAAACTTACTCACCTGTGCCTTGATCCACCATAAATTCCAGAAACTGTCCTGTTTTGGACATTGCCCATCATAAAGTTTTCTTACAAATCAATTAACTGAAAGAACAAGGACCAAATTTAAAAAGGATAAAGTCTTCCCTTCCATTTTCCTTTTGCGGAAAGCTGATACAGACCATAAGAAATTACATATGTCTTAACCCAAATATAAACACTGAAGCCACAGGAAGAGTAGTAAGTGAATTCTGGAAAACACTAGGATAATGAGAACATATTGAGTAAAGAGGCAGTGACAGAAATGGAAAGCCGAAGCTCTGTTATCCCTCAGCTGAGAAAGTAAACCCTGAAGCTGAGTGAAGTTTCCTCCCTCACATCAAAAAGTTGAAATAAATATGTGTTTTATTTACAACTCAAAGTCTCACAAACTGAATGCCTTAGAAATTCTGCCGAGATAAAAGCAAAGCATTCAAACTTGCTTCTCTTCTACTTATTTATAGTTTATGTATTTCCTAAAAGGATTGTATGGTAATTTATAATATTATGTAATCTGGATAAAAGATAAATCCAGTAACATAAGTGTGAATTGCTGAACCACTTGAAAGAAAGAAATCTTAGGTTTTCTCTTTTCAAATAGCAAGCAAAATCTGTCTCGAGCAAGATTTTGTAAGACATGCAAAATCGAATATTAATTTGTGTATTTTCCTTACCTTCATTAGCTTGTAGAACTTTGTCCCAGCAACACAGGAAGGAGTCTGGTTCCCAGTTGATGGAGTGTGTTACTCTATGATTAGTTTCAGAAATAATCCAACCTGTCTTGTGGGCTCTGATGTTTAATGGGGATTGCAGAGACACCCCTACAGTGGCCTGTTCTTTCATGCCAGGCTCCCCCACGTAGACACTCTGCTGTTTTTATAAAATTCTCATCCTCCTACAGACTGAACCATGCACCCTTTTGGCCAAGAGGACCCCAGGGAAAGCTTGGAAGCTGAGTTCCCAGCCACAGTGGGATGGGAGGTTGAGCACGTCCCCTTACACTCCCTCAGTCGCTAACTACCATTAGATTTCCTTCCCTAAGTGTTGAACAGAAACCAGCCCTTTAGAAAGACTCGAGCTGATATCCACCAACAGCCTAGTGCTGCCCCTCCACTTTGTGGTTTTGATAACACAACCACCAGCCAGCATTCCTTCCTGATAAGTGACCTCCAACCCCAGATTAGTTCCAGCTAGTCTATGGAGGATGCGAGATGTCCGGAAACTCCACCGTCAGATCTTGCTAATGCTGCCATTTTTTTGCACGTGTGACCCCTGAAGGGGAATGAAACCCAATTGCGCATGCGCATGTTTTGGCCACCCTATTCCCTTTTCCTTTGCCCCCGCCTTCCCGATGTGTGTTTCTGGCTTCTGCCAGAAGCCATGCTTCCCCAGCCTGTCCGAATGGCCACCTTGCAGACTGCAACCCTTTATGAGTAATAAAGCTCTCCTTTCCAAATGCATGAGCCTTGTCATTCTTCAGTTGACAGGACCAAGACACTTGGTATGCATACAGTCACCTTTATCTGAGGACCTACCACCTTTGGGGTGCTGTGCAGGAGTCTATAGATGTTTACAGGTCTATAGATGTTTACAGGTGTCTACTACCCATAGACTCCTCTCTTGTCTCCAGTTCTAAGGGTTTGGCAATGCAACATCACTTACTCTGTTTTTTTCTCCTTATCGGTCAAAGCACAAACCTCCAGTCCAAATGCTCATCTCTTTTTTTTTTTTTTTTTTTTTTTTTTTTTATCTTCTTCAAAAGTGCCAAGCATTTCCAAACGCAGCCTTGGGGTGGCACGGGGATGGGGTGGGTGGATTATTTAGAGCTTTGGGGCCTTGATATACAAAAATAACTATAACTCCCCCTAAAGAAAGTAAACTTCAGAACGCAAACCCTAATGCCCTGCTATCTTTTCTATAAGAAAATAAAAAGGGAAAATGACTTTTTTTCCTTCTTTTTCAAAAACGTATCTGCACGAAGCAACACAATGAAGACCCCAAGTGATTGTTTGTTTTTATGTAATAATGTGAGAATAAAATGACTGGACCAAAGCAGTAAAGGAAGGAGGGTTATAAAATGGTGACATCAGAAGTCTGAGTAAAAAATCAGTTTTTTTTTTCACTAAAGTACAGACTTCTAACAGCTCAGCAGCTAAAACGATAAAGGCAACAATGGATTGCCTAGTTATTGTCTAAAAATGGCAGGTGGGCGCTTATCTGTGTTGTATTGACAAGCTGAGTGTGTTAACTAAGCATTTTCAGTGTGAGCCGTAACAGAGCATAGGAGACTCAGAAGTTGGGTAAAGGGCCGCAGCTGATTTGCAAGTAGGATGAAGATTTCTGACACTTGTAACTCAGGACTAAATTGGTTCTTTAAAAGCGGCATTCAATTAGGCTTTGTACCTGGAAGTTGCCTGTAGTGGTTTTGAGAAATTACTCATTTTTAATGGATTTTTTCACCTCAGGGGTCAACATCACATTGACAACCCCTGAGAAGCATGAGAGGTGCCTCCCTCTCTGTTGGGTCCCCCCACTAGCCACCTGGCAGCTGGCGCCAGCCCGCACCGTGACATTCTGCAGGTGCAACGGCCCTAGGTTGTCCTCACAGTCCAGCTGCAGCGGCGAGTCATTCAGGTTAGGGTCAGCTGTTCTCACGGATGGTCCACGTGGAGCGTGTCTGCTGGGATCTCTCCTGCTGCCTCAGGTCGTAGGACCCCAGCACTATGGAGGCAATCCCTCCTGCCTTGAAAGCAGTTGGCTGCAGTCAGCTGGAAGCCAGGATGGACCATGGCACACCCACAAAAGTGAATTTCCTGATCCTGAATCAAGGTCGGAATCCCGGGGCCCAGCCTCGATGAGAACGACTCATGAATTTTCACTGATTTGTTCAGATTTCCTAAGGAATGGTTTTATGAGGCTGTCGTCATCAATCTCGAATGAATTTCTAAAATTCATTTTTTTTTTTTTTTTTGGCCTGACTTCTTGTTGCAAACAATTCCTTTCTCTTTTTTACTGTGAAACCCAAGGATTTAAACCCAGCTGTCATGTCTGGCAAGAAGCCACTATTGGTGCCTGACGTCAAGTGGCAGCAGCACAGAGGTGTGGGGGTGGAAAGATCCTGAGATTCATGGTTTCAGGCAGGGTGGGGTTGGGTGGGAGTGGGGTCAGGGGAAGGGCCTGTGTGTAAGTAGAGGAGGAACTAAGTCCCTGCGCGGCCAGAGCCAGAGCCACAGTCTGAAAAGAAGCCAACTCTGAGCCACAGATGAAGAAAAATGAGGAACCCCAGCACCCAGAGGTATGCCAAACCAGGAAATGGAAATGCAAAGACAATACCTAAGCAGGGGCAGGACCTGGGGACAGAATGTGCTCAGACGTGTGGGGAGGAGCTGGCGCTGTTCTCTAGAGCTGAGCAAAATCCAAGAAAGGCAATGGGAATCTTTCACCGGCCTCTGCCACGTAACCAGATCACTTCCAGGTGATCCGCTTGTCAGTTTTATCCCAACTTCACAGCAATCTGGAGAGAACGTATTATTATTTTCATTGCAGTAAAATACATATTATGAATATTGGCTACTTCCTCACCATAGCCAGTAACATGATCCAGTACATATCACTAGCTTAAAAGATGGTGAGAAGAAATTCAATAACATTCAGAATCCATTCATCAGTAAAACTCTGGAAGTGCATTAAAGGTTAATTTATGCATGACCACAATAAACACTATATACTTAGCCCAGGAGTACCATTATATTTAGTAGAAAAGTTGAAAGCAACAAGACTGAAAGGTCCAGGCTACCTTATTGCTTATCTTAGTGGGATGTGGACCAGTGTAAAGAAAGGAAAAAATAAGAGACAAATATAAAAAAGATTTCTTTTTATGCAAGATGAAACAGTATACTTAGAGAACTCAAGAAAAGTAGCCAAGAAGTATTAATCGTAACGAAAAAGCAGAAAAAAGTCCATAGAAAACCTGTTATCTCTATTGACGGATTTGCTATTTTTCAGTTGCTGCACAGCATTCCATTTATGGGACATCATAGCAAACACATTAAATTGCAGTAGAAATATTAGGCCAGAGATACTCAAGATACAGGTCAGTTTTCAAATCAGTTGACATGATCAGTCCATTGATAGATTTATTTGTTCATTGACTCACTCTTTAATGAATTGTTTATACATAAAATCAAAGACACTTCGTTGTGGGGCGTGGGGAGGCAGCTTCTAGGGTCTCTGTGCTTGGGAAGTGTCCAGTCTCTTGGAGGAGCCAGCCGTTAAACGTGTGGCTGTCATGAGGGGTGGCAAGTGCAAGGGTGGGGAGGCACAGGAAGGACGCTGCCATTGACCCGCCCTGGCACAGTGTAGGTTTCAGAGGTAATTTTTGTGTCAGACAAGAAAAACAGTTTTGTTAGTTTAGAGGGCTGCTTCATTTTAAAATACAAAATTAACCAACCAAGCAACAGAAAAGTATCCAGTGCCCTGTATTTACTTGTTAGCTTTGCACAGAAATGACATTGTAAACCTTGAGTTTCATTCTCCTGACTGGGCTTCTGCTGACACGTGGATCTTTTAACCTTTAAACGTTTAACCTTTTTAAACCTTTGGACAAAGGTTTGTCATCACTGAGAATACATGAAGTATTTTAAGTTCTGAAAGTGCTCCCTGAAGAGGGGCAACAATGCTCTGAGCAAGACAGCATCATTACCATAAATGTCAAACACCCAAAGGGACTATTAAAAAGGGGGCAAAACTCTCTGAGATGAATCAGTACGGGATTTAAAAATGCATTCTCCTTACTTACATATCATCCCTTTTATGGTAGATCATGCCCTGGATTTGCAGGGCTCTTAGTTAATGAGAATTTAGTGCTTACCTGCTCTACTGCTTTACCTTAAACACTGAACGATGAGACTTTTCTAAAATATTCATGTTAGGCATGAGAATTAGGATAACATGAACTGGATTTGGGTGTCAGTCCAGGCTCAGGTTGTAACATGAAGGCAGTCATTTATTTTCACTAAGTCTCCAGTTTTCTAAAACATTTTATGAAAATGCTCAAACAGCAAAGCTGAAAGACTTTTACAGTGAACACCCATAATCTCGCCACTTAAACTTAATCATTAACATTTTCTTTATCACATATTTATTCATGTATCCATCCACTGATCCACTTACATTTTTGATAGATTTCAAAGTAAATTTGCAGATATTAGTATACTTTGCCTAAATACTCAACATATACCATTTTTTATTTTGATGTAAAATGTGCATACTTAAAATGCAAGTGCTTTTGCTGGTTTTGTCAAATTGCTAAGTTCTATGGTGGAGCCTCCCCTTTTTTCTGGTATAAAATGGAGTTAAGAGTACTTGTCACAAAGAGTTGTTGTGAGGATAACATATAACATGAGCTAATGTGAAAAGAGCTTTGTAACTTATAAAGTCAAGTCAAGGGTGAGGCGCCATTTTTCTAATTGTAATTAATAGTCTCATCTCTTTGAAGAGTATTGTTATCAGATATGAAGCAAACTCTAAGAGGATGACAATTTCAGTTAGACCTGTAACCTTAATGACTATACAAGCTATCACCGCCCTAGTATTAACTGTTAAGCAGTTTGCACACAAATGATTTCCCATGATTATGACACCCCTGCTTGTGTGACATCTGTTCTGGTCATCTGGGAAGCTCTGCACTGTGTCTGGAATATGTATAGCAAAGAGGTGATAGGAACATTCTCTCCTCTTAATTCAATTACGATGGTTGTGTTACATTTTCCTATCTGTCTGTGTGGCCTCAGAGGCTGGCCCTGGCTTTACGTCCATCTTGTAGTCCAGTCACAATTCATGAATGTTTAACAAAACCAGAGGACTGTGGGTCAGAAAAAGTAACTGGCTTTCTGTTTTTCTTTAACAAGACCACCCACAGCAAGGAAGGCTCACATGTGGACACTGGACCACTTGATGCTTATATTTGGATGCCAGGGTATCCTCATTAATAGTTTGTTAATAACTTAGTTATGATGTAGTTGGTTAATAAAATGATATTATGGAGAAGATTGGACAGGACTTGTCTGGAATTTGGCCTGCCTGAAAATTTGGGGCAGGTGTTGGAAGTTGGTCACGCGATTCAGGATGACCTGGAAGAAAGTCCAGTCTTGCGGGTGTGGACAGGGCATGGTTGCAGAGGTAGTTAAAACAAGTTGTCAGCATCAGAAGATAATTCCACAAGGAATAATGGCAGTACTACAGGTACATGGCAACAGGGACTCTAAGATTCATAACCCATGAAGGGGTCTGAGATCTTGCCCTTCCTGCAAGCTCACAAGTTACACTGCCACAATTTCACGGAGGCTGGCAGAAGACATAAGAGCCCTGGGTCAGAGACAAAGAACTTTCTTATGACACAGCAAGCAGCATGAATTTCAGGTTTGCATTGGTTCCCCCTGATTCCCTAAGTCCCATGGGAACAAAGCAGTAAAAGAGAAGGAAATTCACTTTTGATGGCATATTTGAGCTACTAATTTGAAACCTAAGGAATACTCAATCTGTGAATATTTTGTTATGCAAGATAATAAATATTCTCCTTATTTAAGCCTTTTGAGTTGAGTGTCCTATAAGTTGAAGCCAAAATACGCCTGACATGTTTTGACTAGTTAGATCATCATTGCAGTAGTCAAGGTGTGAAATGGTGATGGCAGTAGGAAAAAAAAGAATAAAAGTCAAACATTTTTATTTGACTACATTTTGGAGAAGAAATTAATATTTGCTCTTAAATTGGATCTAAGAGTTGTTAATGAAGAATCCAGCATGACTTCTAGATGTCTGGCTTAAACAACCTGGTGAATAATGATGCCCTTTACTGAAATAGGAAAAACCAGAGAGAAACAGTTTTGGGGAGGATGGGAAGTCAGGCTGCTAATATGAATATCTAGCTGGAGATGTTAAGTAAGTCTTATAGATAGAACTCAGAGTAAAGACCTGGGTTGGAGTTGTTGTATATAAATGACATCTAAAGGCATTTATTATCTTTACTGGTTTATAATGGTATTTAAAGCCATGTCTTAGAATAGAGCCTAGGACAATGTACCAAGGGATTCCAACAGTTCAAGTTTGGGTAGAAAATGATGAGTTATTAAAAAGACAAAGAATGAGACTTGGTAAGACAAAAAGTGAGACTCGGTAGTGGAGAATGGGGAAGGGGAGGGGAAGGAAAACTCCAGGGAGAAGGAGAACCAGAAGTGTTGTGTCATGGAAGCTAGGAGGGAGTGGCAGGCCAAGGCTTCTGATGAGCTGAAGACAGAAAACCCGCTATTGACTTTAGTAACATGAAAATCACTGATGACTTTACAAGAGTAGTTTCAGCTGAGTGGTCAGGACAGTTGCTAGATTTGAATGATGTGAGAAGAAAACAGCTAACAAAGTTGCGTAAGAGTCAGATGATTACATTTATTCTCTCTGCAAGTATTTGATTTTTTCTACCAGGTCGGGAGAAGCAGTTTCCCTCCATGATAACACCTGGGGATCTCCCTTAAAGGTAGGTCACCTTTCTGCTTTCCAGGTAAAAAGAGAGTGATTTGCTGGGATCCCTAATTACCTCCACCAAAGGCATAGCTCCATAGTTTTCTTAGGAGAATAAATTTAGGTTTAAGCCATTGATGGATTGTTGTTTTTTGGCGTCTTTCTATCCTATACTTAATTTCTTCCTTTTTAAAAAAATGCTGACATTCTTTATTTCCAATATATTCTTTTCCTCAGATTACCCATGTGATCAGTCTTTCTCATGGCTTTCGCTGACACTGCTTATTTTCAAATTCTCTTCTCTCCTTTCTATCACAGTTCCTCAGAAGAGAAGTTGACATAAACTGCTCACACGTTCTACACCATAATCCTTTGTCAACCCAGTGCAGTAGATTTCGTCATCATCACTCCATGGAAACTT